GTGTGTGTGTGTGTGTGTGTGTGTGTGTGTGTGTGTGTGTGTGTGTGTGTGTAAAGGTCCCAGGTTTGCCTCAGCAATGATCTTCAATCACTCTTATACCTTATCCCCTGAGGCAGGATCTCTTATAATATAGCTATTCGCTATTGCCAGCTTCCTCTGTGGATCGCCAGCTCTGCCTCTGCCATCTCAGGCTGGATTATAGGTCACCACACCCAATCTGCATTTACCTGAGCTCTGGGGAATCCAAATCCCAATCCTCAAAAGTGTGTGGCAAATGCTTGCTTTAACTGCTGAGTCTTCTCCCCAGCTCCAGTGCAGAGTGGACTTTCTTCTCTAATCCCGGCACCTGGGCAATCTTGCCCTGCAGGCGCATGATTCGAAGATTTTGTCTCAGGATACTTTCATAGCTGTCCTGGGCCACATGCAGCCTATGGCTGCAGGTTGGACACTGGGTGATTTTAAGGAAACTAATGGAATGAAAATAATCCTTAAAGAGAAATACTTTTTGCCATGACACTCTCCCCAATTTTTTGAACAAAGAGAGAATGCCAAAAAAAGTAGAAAAATTCACCTTGCACCAAATTCATGACACATTTTTATTCTTAGTCTTCGCTCCTCTCTCCACATATATTTTTTATGACAAAAATCAATTTTTTATTTTGCCCATTTCCCTTAACATTTTTCATGTTACTATATATTCTCTTTGTGGTTTTTATTTATGTCATATCATTTATCACTTGAAAGACTTTGAGCTACTTAGGCTCTCTGAGACAGCCTTCTCATCTTAAAAAAAGTGGGGATAATTGAGGTTGGAGAGACAGCTCAGTGATTAAGAGCACTTGCCGTTCTTGGGGAAGGTCTGTGTTCAGGTCCCATCATCCATTTAAGGCAGCTCACAACCACCCATAACTCCAGCTCCACAGGACCTGTTACCCTCTTCTGGCCTCGGCAGGCACCTGCACATGGGTGTACACACACACACACACACACACACACACACACACACACACACACCTTAAAATGAAGATGATCATACTTCATGTGAGATTGTCATGAAAATCAAGCTAGATAAAGCCAGCAGCATGGGGTGTGTAAGCATTCAGTAAGTGCTGATAATTTCTGCTCTTTTTAACTCCGTGCCCAGACCTCATAATCAGTTCTTCTCTGATCTTCAGTGTGACCATGTTTTTATATAGGTTTTAGTCTGTCGAGTATTTGTAATGACAAAACACTTTATTTCACATGCCTTTTAGTTGACTTTACCAGTGACTTTTCTGTTGCTTACCAATGTCCTAGATGCTTGTTGTTGTTGCTGTAATGAAATACCTGCTAAAAAAACAATAGCTGAAGAAGGGAAGGTTCATTTTGGCTTACAGTTTGAGGGTGCGAGCCATCATGGCATGGCGGCAGGAACTTGATGCCAGAGGCAGATGAATGCTAGTGCTCGGCTCTCTTTCTCCTTTTTCATCAGCACAGGATCCCAGCCCATCAAATGGTAGAGTTCACATCCACAGCGGTGTAATTCATCTGTAAAGTCACAGGCATGCCAGAGGCTCCATTCCTAGGTGATTCTAGCTCCTGTCCAGGTGACAATCAGAATAAACTATCACAACTAGCCGCCTTTTAAGGCACAGTTACCCTGTGCAGGTGGGAAAATGGAGAGAGGTCTGTCGACTCGCTGCGACTGAACTGTGGCCTTGCCCCTCACTCCCCATGTGATTAGATTCTACCCCTCACTCCGCATGTGATTAGATTCTACCCCTCACTCCCAAACCCATATGCTCAAGTCCTGCCCCATAGTGTGATACGTTTTAAGACAGGACCTATAGAAGGTAAAGGGTTAAAAGAGCCCTGACCTGAGAGAGTCCTTGTGAGAAGAGACACTGGGGCTGGAGAAGTGGCTCAGAGGTTAAGAGCACTCACTGGCTGCTCTTTGAGTTAAATTCCCAGCAACCACATGGTGGCTCACAATCATCTATGATGAGATCTGGTGCCCTCTTCTGGCCTGCAGGCATACATGCAGGCAGAACACTAGACATAATAAACAAATCTTTAAAAAGAGAGAGACTGGGGCTGGGGAGATGCCTCAGTTAGTACAGTGCTTGCCTTGTAAGCATGAGGACCTGAGCTTGATCTCTGAGAACTGCAATCCCATACCTGGAAAGGCCGAGACAGAAGGATCCCTGGAGCTTACTGGCTGAACAGGTGAGCCTGGGTTTAAAGTCTCTTCTAATGCATGGCGATCTCTCAACTATAACTCCCTGTAAAATCAGAATCGAAAAGCAGATCGTGTACTTCCAACAGAAAAGGAACAGAGTATACATTACCAGTCAAAAGGGAGTTAAGGGAGCATAATGAGGAAACACTGGACCAAAGGAAGACCTAAAACCAGCGGGGCGAATTCCAAACTCTGCATCTCCATGTCTGATGCCAAAATGCTCTTCAGAACTCCAACTTCTTTGAGCTTTATGACCACAACACCCCAGATGGGGTCATGTAACTGAATGTTGGGATCATGAAAACTTGGTGCCGTTAAAAGGACAAACAAAAATTAATTAAAAACCAAACACACAATATACCTGAGATGGTTTCTGGCCCCACTCGCCTGTGTTGCATTGCACATCGTCACTGCAGCCTTGGTTCTGCACTCACAGCATGCACACTCTGCCCGCCACATCATACCAGAGTCACATGATACCTATGAGCGCTCCCTGGAACATCCCAGATCACATTTGAGACAGCTGTGTGACAAATTACAGTGTTCCTTTTTAAGTTTATTATTACTACATATCTGTGCTTGTGGGCAGGTATGTGTATGTGGTATGTACGAGTGCAAGTGTCCATATGCCATGGAGTGCTTGTAGAGGTCAGAGGATAACATTAGGGAATTGGTCTTTCCTTCCACTGTGTGGATTCTTGGGATTGAACTCAAGTTGTCAGGCTTGGCAGCAAGCACTTTTATCTGGTGAGCCATCCTGCCAGCCCAGAATTGAAGTATTTTTACACCGTGTACAAAGCTTTGGTTCTTACAGAAATAGAGCGGTTTGGAGCCAGCAAGATGAGTCGGCAGGCAAGGGCACTTGTCAAGCCTGGTAACCTAAGTCCCTTTCTTAGAGCCCATCTGGTAAAAGGAGAGAACTGCTTCCCAAAAGCTGTATCTGACCTCCACCTGTGTGCCATGATACACACCCACACCCACACCCAAACACACCATATATATATATACATATATATATATATATATATATGTATATATATATATATATATAGAGAGAGAGTGTGTGTGTGTAAAAATTTTTAAAGAGATAGAGTGTTTTAATTACAGAAAACAAGGACCTAAGATTCATTTGTTTAAGCATAAGGAATTTTGGTTTGGGTTTAGTATACCATTTCCAACAATTTCTGAAATAGCCCTAAAACATAACTGCTACCATTTTGGACTATGTATTTACATGAAGCAGTGTTCTCAACACTGACAATTATCAAATAAAAATTGTTGGGAGCCCCACGGCCTCCCAACAGTTTTGGACCAATATATGAGTGCTTGTCCAGTGGGTCTCCAGATGAGGCAAAAGCCCACGGGGACAGTGTCACTCAGCAAGGACCAATGGACTTCACAACAGCAGAATACTGCTGGGACCACACGGCCTGCATGCTCTCTTCTCTCTGGTAACACTGATGATTCTCTCGGCAGTTTCAGTGTCATTTTGTCAACCATGCATTGGACAGATGTGATCACTCCTGGAAACCCCAGTTTTCTTTGAATTTCCCCTAAAATTCTTTGGGAGCTGATACTTCTCAGGTTTCTTGTCTGGGGATGCCAGCTGTCACTCCAGACCCCGGGAGCTGTTCTGATTCAGTGCCGACAGGATCGGAGGCGATTCACCCCTATTCCTATAAATATGCTTTGTTAAGTTTTGATGATATTGCTGTTCTTGAAAATGTGTGTCTATGTCGGTCACCTTTTAGTTTTGTAAAGACAGGGTGTACCTGGCTCAATATTTGGCCAAGCAAGCAAAATGTAAGTGTTGTTTTTAGTTACAAGATGTTTTG